ATTTTGGTTGTTTGCTACTTTGGGAACCCTAAGCTGAGTGTTAAGGTGGCATAACAGTGTTTTAAATAAATAAATACCTGGTTCTGCAGACATTTCTGTTTCAGGACCTGATCTTGCAAATGAATGCCTGCATGAATTAAAGGGACAGAAAAAGTCTATTTGCTCACTTCACTACATTTATAAGCCACTAGTCCTTTTCAGTCACTCCGGTCATGTGTACTGGGAGCCTGGCAACCACACATATTGGAAGCATACTCTATATGCAAACATCCTGGTATGTGCAATTGCTATTTTGTTGGAAAGGAGCAACACCTATTTTCGCCTTTAGTACATGTGAATCAGAACTCTGAAAAGTTATGGTGCTGATACATGTGTACCAAGGATGAAAATATATGCATTGGTACCTTTCAGACAAAATGGCAATTGTGTATATCGGAAGAATTGCACGTACACACTTTAACCTTCTGGTATGTATATAACCTTCTGGTATGTACAGTAAAACTAATGACCAAAAGGGGCTAATAATAAAACAGGCATGCCTAGCAGGCAAAGATTAGGGAAGATACAATGAATGGTACTAGTCAGTTTACTGATGATCTTTATCAAGATAAAAAAGAAACCATTCGACAAATGTTCACTAGTCCATTCTGGAATAAAATCTTTAACAACTCATTCAGGTGCCATCAGCTTCCTGGTTTTTCCCACATGGATACAGACTTGTGCAGTTTCCCTGTCTGTGGTGATCTGGGATCCCAGGAACGTGAAGTCTGTCACTACTTCCACAGCTTCCCCTTCTATTTGCCAAGGAGTGATGGGGCCGGATGCCATGATCTTAGTTTTTTTGATGTTGAGCTTCAAGCCCACTTTTGCGCTCTCCTCTTTTACCCTGAGCAAGAGGCTCTTTAGGTCCTCTTCACTTTCTGCCATTAGAGTGGTATCGTCTGCATATCTGAGGTTGTTGATCTTTTCCCCAGCAATCTTAATTCCTTTTTAGAAATAAAATGAAAATTGGGAATCCAGAGTGCCTAATATAGAGATTGTTATAACACTGTAACAATATTTACTTGCTGATAAAACACACACACCAAAACTGCCCAACCCTGCTGGCAGGGGGAAGAATGGCCACCATGGAGATGGGGCAAGGAAAATGACTGCTGTGTGAGCAGGACCAGAAAAATCAAAATTTTCTTGCCCAAAGGGGAATCCAGCCTTGGCTGTGACCTTTTCCAAAACTTCACAGCAAAACAGATTTGGGAAAGATCAGAGAAGAGCCAGGGGAAACCCAGGAGGTACACAAATGCCCCATGATGCTGTGGGGAAGCAGGCAAAACTTCCCAGCAGCATTATATCCGGGGTTTAAATAACCCATGCAGAACAAGTCCTTGTTTATTTCTCCTGCAACAGACTAACACAGATACCCTCCTGGACTTTTCATCATGACAAGGCACTTCAGTGGGAGGATGGCTTACAGACTGGAACAAATTTAGTTGTTCATAAAGACATTTTTCAAACAGATTCACTTACAGAAGAAGTCCCACGTAAGTTTTAGGACACAGCCTTAGTCTACATAAGACATGTTTTTTTAGACGTTACCATAACTAACAACTAAATGATCTCCCCGTAGTTGCTGCAGATCTGTAATGGGGCATAAACTCTTTCAGGGAAGTCCATCCACCATCATTAACCTCCTCAATAGGCTATCCCTGGCAAGCTTTCAAGGAACCTCACAGTCCCACAGAACACAATCTGCAGATCACTGATGCAGACCCACCCCCTCCATACCAAACAACTGACACGCAATTGCAAAATTGTTTGTCATAACCATGTTTTTCTGGCCAGGCAGACATTTTGTCAAAAAACGTCTCCGATGTACCTGTTATGCAGCTCGACCTTGAGAGGTTTACCACAAGCCCAAACTGCCAAGTTTGTGGATTTTTCTAGCACAAGGGACACTTTTTTCTTCTTCTTTTTGCTTGTGGCCAAGTTCACCCAAGATTAAGTCACACAGTGGGTTCACCAGACAAAAAACATCAGCTTGGCTTATTGAAAAAAAGAAGAAGCCCATTTTGTCTTGGTGTGAATTGGACTTGAATGAATGGGTTTGTCGGCAGGCCTTTGATTTGATTTTCACTGACCTACAAGCACTCTGCTTGATTGCTGCAGAGCTTGCTGTCCTAGGGAAGGCCATGGCAATTAGCAGGAGGCCTTACACCTTTTTGATTTGACTCACAGGAGACTTGTTGAGTTTCCGATGACTCATGGAAGACGCGTTACCTCTCATGTTTCCTGCAACTTGGGCCAATACTTTTGGCTCCTGTAAAGGAGACAGATATTCATGAGTTATCAGAAGCTCCCGCCAGTGTTGTGGGGTACTCTGTTTATCTATAGTTGTCAGGGCTGTAGTGCTGCAAATCAATCATGTTAGATGGGCTAAATATGGGATATGAAAGATGGGCAAACCGCAGTGCTTGAACATGGTCCAGGCTTGAATATGGTTAGAGACGCCAGCCTCCAAGAGGGACCCGGAGATCAGTGGCCCCTTGTAATTGGGGCCACTGAGCTGATCCTAAGGGTTGTTATTTCTTTCCACTGAATGCAGAATTAAAAAAGCGAGGCAACGATCCACATGGTGTGGTGTTTCCATGCGCACTGCATTTGATTTACTCTTAGTTACCTTTCTGTGATTAATGTGAAAAGGTATGGAACAGACGGGAACCCACATCAGGTCGGTCTAGTGCAGTCCGTTTCCAGGCAGCAGCAGATGACTGAGTACCTTTGTTTTCCCCACAGATGTTCAGAAGAGTGTGCACACAAGGAAGTTGCAGGGCAGTTATAATGGGATGAGGGGGCTTCTAAGTTCTTCAAGGGCCTTCAAAGAAAATGTTTGAAATGGCAACCTATGTGCACTTGTGAACAGCATGTTAAGACCAGGTGGCTGCATTCAGAAATCCTGAACAACCCAAAGTTTGCTTGTGATGAGAGAGCATCTCTGAAGTTTGCAGCCTCATGGGCATCGAACCCAACCCTTCTCCTATTCCGTACGTCTGAAAGCTAAAGAGTTCGATCTGCAGCTTGCTATGGCATTGAATAGTGGCAAACAACAAACAGAGATTTGTCCTCTGGCCTGCAAACAAGGATACCATACCAGGATTAATCTGCGGCCTGGAATCCTGGTTTGTAAGTGAGAGAGTAAGAGAAGCAATCCCAGGCAGGTTAGTTCACATTCCT